TCTAATACACAGTCTCTCTCTCTCTCTCCCTTTTTTTTTTTTTCAGAAAGCCAGCGCTTTTATCCACAGTAGAGAGAGAGAGAGCACATGCACATTGTTACCAGGTTGACAAAAATAAGTAACACACTTAGCAGATATTTCCATATTGCGCAAGTGTGAAGCTCTGTTTTGGGGATTACGTCTCTTTATCAGGCATCCCCGATTGTTTTCCTCTGCAGCCAGATTAAACCATGTTGTAGCCTATATATAATATTCATTATTTTTTTGAAACCTTGCACTGATTCCACTCCACTTTAAATGCTGTGTGTGTATTCAAATTAAGCACGGTCCACTGCTGCACACGTGCTGCGATATCGATACAGAAACAGCTGTATCGATACCTGTATCGTCAAGTAGTATGGAATGATATATTGTCGTATGGATGTATCGAACATAGGGATGCAACGATTATAGATTTTGTTTGTACGGTTATTGTCTGAGGAATAATCACGGTTTTACGATTATGACGATTATTATGCATTTATTCATTTCCCAACATTACTAATGTATAAAATCACATGAACACTCTTTAGATATTAAAGTGTTTTTTATTGCTGGCTTTTGAAAATAACACAGTAACCAACAATACAGCACAAAATAATAATAAACAAAAGACAAAAAGTCCATCTCTCCCATTGGAATAAAAAAAAAAGGTGACCTCTGCTCTGTAAACATCCATGACAGTATTTCTCTTTTGAAAATAACAAATGGAAATAGATCACAAAAGTATTTAATGTTTTCAGTTTGTACATTCTTTACATTTCTTTTGGACCTGGGGTAGAGAATTTGGAAACATGGTGAAAAAAAAAATCTTGTTGGTTTTTACTTATGAATAATACTACAACAGGGATAGTAAATAACAAAGTTAATGAAGTAGCCTATTATTAATATACGACTAATATTAACTTTATTTGTCCCACAGGGGAAACTGTTACTAATGATGGAAATAAACTGAAATATTGTAATCAACTGTCATCCATACGTATTCATTTTAATAATCTTTATAATAATTCATATGACTACATGGTGCCTCTGATAAGCACGTCATTTTAAGCTGGTGCACCGCTAGTGTAACTTTGTTTTTGTTTTGCGCAAGCTGCAACAGTTCCGTTCCGTGTAACACAAACACTAGGTTTAGCGGAACCTTTACGATTAATTAACTGTGACGTTTTAAAGCGTGGTTAATCGCGAAACCGGTTAATCGCTGCATCCCTAATCGAACACAGCCCTAGCTCACACTGCAGCACATGCCAGCCTCTGTGCACAAGCATCCCTCCAGAAAGCCTGATGTCTTATTCAAAGTCTCCCAGATTCACAGTGGACCACATCATCACAAACAAATCAAAACACATTCCTAATGAGCATAAACCAGTGGGCTTGAGCAGAAGTTAGAACTAGAGAGATGGCTTTTTCTCAACCAGTAAGATGTGCCAAGTGGTGCCCTCTCTTCAGCTGACAGTCTATCAGCAGCATCTTGATTTTCACCATACAGTCATCACATGCTCCTTTATCGCCAGAATAACAAACACCCTCTCTTTTCTCTCTCTGACATTCTGTGTTGAGGGAGAGAACTGTTACAAAGGCACACGGACTTGTTGGTCACGCTTTTTTTTTATATCCTTCCTTCCTTCCTCTCCTGCCTGCCACAAGACTGCCGAAGAGCATTTGAAATGTTTATTGTTTTGAACAGAGATGGGAGTAGAACGAAATTGTTATTTTCTGTTATGTTGACTCCAACAATATGTACATTACTCGCAAAGTAACATGCCATCCAGATGAGCAGTCAGAAGCAGAGTAGTTATTTATGCTAGAATTTTAAATCTGTTTCACAGGATCAAACATTTCTATGACAAGTCTCTTTAAAATGAATTCTTAATGCCCTACATTTCTCTTGTTGCCGCTTTCCTCTTTTTTTCCTGTTTAAATAGTAGTAGTGATACCCATTTTTATGTGCATTTTGTCTCATTGCATTTCCAGCTGCAGCTGCGCAGGCGCAGGCAGAGGAACGGCGCAACCAGGCAGGGAACAGCCCAACACCAGCAGCTCCAGCCAGCACAATGAAGAGCCAAACCAGGCCAGGTAACAAACGATGATCTCAGATCTCAGTCTGTCAGTCACTGCAGGGATTCACAAGGATCTTTTTTTTCTGAATGCCCAATTGTGCAAGTAGTTCAGATTTTTACACTGAAACAAAAATAATTATTATAAATTAGTGTATTTTCATTTGTTAAGGCGGCTCTTTCATAGATTCAAAAGGTAAAATTTTTTCATTAAAAAAAGCAGGTTTGCACTAAAACGATCCTTTTTTTCTTTTAGCTTTTTTGTTTTGTTTAGTTTCATTTTTCCTGCAGTCTTGCTTTGGTTAATTGAGTAACATGCTGTCACATGACCATTGCAGCACTTCCTGTAGCATATACTCACACACGCCCATGACTCAGTGTCAATACTGTATCAGGTGTGGTGAGCTCATAGCTGAATCTGTAACCTGAGCCTCATGTATGTCCATGCGAAAGGATTATCTGCGCAATGGATACTAGTTCAGTCTGCCGAGAGCCTTTTCATAGCCCAGGAAGTGTTCAGATTTCAACTGATACACTGACGTTGTGTTCTGTGTTCTCAGTCATTGATGGGGCAGCCTTGAGGATAGACGACAAACTCAGAGTGGCCAAAGAAAGGAGAGAAGAGCAGGAAAAGCAACATGGTGACAAAGCAAAAAATTTCACACAACAGGTGTTGGCAACTTTAGATGTGCATGTGACCATTGTCTTGCAGAAGGATAATAATTGGCACACAGGTGATAAGAGCAAGAGAAATAACACATAAGTCAAAGAGAACAATAGCACTGTGTTTACGAAACAGTGGGGCGGTCATTTGCATAATTTATTCATGCTGAGGTGGATGCTGGGAAACAAGAGTTCATTATCCATTGAAAATCATAGTATACACTGCATTAATTTTGTGCGGCGATGTGACGCAAAGTGATAAAAAATGAAAAGGGTCCTTCGTGTCAAAAAGTTTGCCAACCCCTGCACAGAGTTGGACATAATTCATTCTCTTACATTGTAACAAATCGTACAAACACACCTGCTAACACACCCTGTTTGGCCCATTCAGCGGCCCGTGAGACTCAGATCCTGGAGCGAGAGCGCAAGACCCGGCTGCAGGTGGAGAGACAAATGGAGGAGAGACAGAAGAAGCTGGAAGAGCAGCGCAGGAAGGAGGAACAGAGGAGAGCTGCAGTGGAGGAGAAAAGGAAACAGAAATTAGAGGAAGAAAAGGTAAGCTGTTTTTTTTATAGGGTCTTAGACCTTACCTTTTGTAAAACAATACACAAACAGAAGCAAACTACCATTCAAAAGGTTAACCTCCTGCTGCAATATTAAATTTCCTTTTTAAATATTAAAATGCCCTTTAGAGACCATTCCTAAAGGCTGTATAATCCTTTACACAAGAGTATAATATTTTAAAGCCATGCATAATGTCAAGTCTAAACCTAAACCAGCCTAATTATACTGGACTCCCTTAAGCTTAGCTAGTTGTTTAGACAACCCACCAACCAGTCTATTTTGGGAAATGTGTGTTTTTGCACGTCCCTACAGTCAACCGGCCTCACTGGTCTCTTCACTGACTATTAGAGATAGGCTTAGGGCTGGGCGGTATGACGGTATATATCATTACCACAAAATAAAGTGTCTATCGTTAAAGATTTTGCTATGTGATGTATTCCGCGGTCTGCAAATATATCTGCGTAACACAGTACTGCTTAAACGTTATACACCTTTTGAGTGATAAGGAAATATGCATGAATGAGAAAATAAAGAGAGGGACGCACTTGGTAGAGTTAAGTTCAATAAGCAGTGAAAAAAAACTCAATGCGGTGCTTGCGCTGACTGACACACAGCCACTGAAAGCCCCTCTCTTGACAGCATGCGATCGCGAAAACATCTCTTTCGTGTTTTATTGTGCTTGAATGGTCAAATATGCACACAGTAACGTCATAATGCCCGTCGTGTGGAGTATTCAAGTAAACAGTGGGTTTTATGTTAAATAAATGTAAAACAGTTGGATGAAAACTGGATGTGTTTCATTATATTGATATTCACTGTTTGATTGATACAGTGAAGACTATGCAGTGTTTTATTTATACACTTTATTCAATTTCTGTAATATTTCTTTCTACATGTTAAATAAACCTAGCCTACTGTAGCTGAATAAATTAAAAGTTTATTTCATTTTTTTTTCTGTTGTGCTTGTAATTTGCTTCTTTTTCTTAATTTTAATAACAAAAATAAAATAAAAATAGCTATATCGAGGTACATATCGTTATCGTGAAATAAAATATCTCATACCGTGAAATAAGATTTTGGTCATATCACCCTGCTTCTTATTGGGGTTGTTCATTAACACCCTTTTATCCATAACATAATGAACACCCTTTTATGAGAAAATGGATGAAATGAAACAGGTGATTTTGTTAGTCTTACAGTCATGCAGCAGGAGTCGTGTGTCAGTACCTGACATGCAAAAGAGACTAGAATCATGGACTTTGTTTTAGTATTGACACCCACACTTTTTCCACGGTCCACTGCTGCACAGCTCAGAGGGTGTATCATGGCTTTATTTGTCTAACAAAGTGTGTGTGTGTAGGAGCACTATGAGGCCGTGATGAGACGTACCCTGGAGCGTAGCCAGCGAGTAGAGCAGAGACAGAAGAGATGGTCCTGGGGTGGACTTTCAGACTCTGACAACAAAAATGGTATGAGTGCTTTTACTAAATGCCAAAACATCAGAAGCACCTGATAATATATTCAACAGCTTTTCCTTATAAAACTTGAACAGCTTTCTTTCACTGATTGTCCCGTAGTCCGCCCAAGTGTGTTATGACTCTATGAATAATCATCTTCTTTTGACAATCCTGATTGCGGTGATTTGTTGTGTCGTTTGTGCACCACTATACTATGATGACTCTAGACACCAGATATATGATTGTTATAACACAGTTTCCTGGACCCCACATATGCCATTGGTCAGCAAAACAGGTAGTCCCTCCCCAGTTAATCCTATGGTTGCTGATTTTTTTTATTTTATTGAGCCACAGTGTTTTGAACTGGGATAGCAGAAACTATTTCCCAAACATTCCAAAAATGACACACATCACCTTTAACAAGTCATGTTTGTTTGTTGGTGGTTGTATGCAACACCACTTAGGGATGGAAAACTAATGTTGTCAGCTGTGTTTTTCCACCTCTCTCACATTCTCCTTGGGGAGAGAGTTTCCAATAGCGACCTGTCTGTCCCTGCCCCTCCCACAGGACAGAGTGACAGTGGCTCCGCCTCCTCCCCGATTGCTATAGTAATCTCCCCTGCTTCTCCAGCCACCAAGCCACCCAGGAATCAGACGTCACAAGGTGGTTTATAGTTTGCCTGCCCATTGTGTGACTTGACACAAACTGCCCACTCCTCCTCTTCTCTCATATGTGCACTAATCTGACTGGGGCTGTACTGGCTGTTTCTTATTCACTCACTAAGTTGTTTATAATAATATATTTTCTTCACTTGCCAGGGATTGTAACAAAGAGCATGTTCTCTGAAGCACTTACTGGGGATGTGTCACTTTGAGTTTAATCTGATTTTCCCCCCGACTTTTTATGCAGATTTAATGTCCCTTTGAATGTCTTTGAATGTTTACTAACAGTTTTATGTTTGACTTTTTAGACTGAGTTTGCTTTAGTTGGAACTTTTGCACAATACTGATTATTTATCCTTTTATTAATATTAACTACTTAATACAAATGATTATTTATATATATATATATATATATATGTATGTATGTATGTATATGTGTGTGTTTAGTCTATATAAAAGTGTATATTTATTTATTTATTCATTCATAATATTAAATATATTTTCTAAATAATTATGTGAATGTAATAGACATATAAGGCAGTCACGATTTCAGGTCTAGCTATTGAGTATGTTTGAATTTTTTTTTATGTGTAGCTGTTACCTTGTCTTTAAAATGTAGATAAGCCAGCTTGTATTAGTGTAATTAACAATAGCTTAGCACGTGCAAACCCCTGTAACTCTAATACCACTCCCTGTCTTTCTCTGTGTGCATATTTACCCTCCCCTGTAGACAAGCGCTCTTCCTCTACTACAAACCTGAAACATACTGACTCAGTCATCAGCAAGCGTCTCTCCTCATCCTCAGCCACCCTCCTTAATTCTCCTGATAAAAGTAAGTGTCCTCCCTGCCCTCTCCTGCCCTTTTCTTATCCAGGATGTACATCATACAGCATGAGTTCTTTTGATACATGAACATGAGTACATACTTTTTAATGCTGGTCATGTGATCCAAACAGAAGTCTGTCACAAGTCATGTCTCACACAGGTGCCTCTCCCTGTGGTTTGCTTGATGAGCTTCGTTTTACAATGTTATTTAAATGCAAATTCAGCATTGTGTTTATTTGAATGGGCCGAAAGTGTTTTTGCCATCTTGGCAGCTCATGATTTTTGCAGACATGCTGTTTCTCTCCACAGTTTCCTCGTCCTCTAACAGGAGCAGCCAGCCATTTACTGTTTGTGTAGGAGTCACAAAAGTTGAAGATTTTAGATCACTTTTGTGTTGATGGTTTTATCTTTGAAGTCTGTCTTCAGTCCCTAATGAGAGAAACCTATGTTTTCGATTCAGGAGTTGAGCTCTCTTTTGTCTCTCAGGTGCAAAGAGGAGAAGTTCGTCTTTGAACCGGTTGCCTAGCAATGTTCCTCAGTCCTCTAAAGAAGTGCATAAGCAGCCTCAGGTGGAAAAGACAGGTGCCAATCTGCCAGTACTACCCTTCTTTTGAAGGATTTGTTAAAAAATTTAAATTCTGTCTTCATTTACACACTCTATTGTCATGTCCAACTTTAATGATTTTCTACTGTGAAACACAAAAGGAGATATTTTGAAGAATGCACTAGCTTTATTCCCATTCATTTACAATGAATGTCAACTGGAGTTTTCAAACAAAAGCTCCATGAAAGTATCAGTAATTTATCTTAATTTCTTCTTTTGTGTTCCAAAGAAGTCATATAGGTTTGGAGCAGTGAGTAAAATGAGGACAGAATTTTTATTTTTGAATGAACTATCCCTTTAACATTGTTTCTGCACACTTAAAGGGGTCATGAACTGCCTTTTTAATTTTTTTGTACTGTTCTCTGAGGTCCACTTATAATGTTATCAAGATTTTTACATTAAAAAACATCATAATTTAGAAGTAATAGGCTATTTTCTGTCCTGTTTTGACCCCCTTCATCAGAACGCTCTGTTTAAATAGGCGTGGTGGACTGTAGACTCGGAAGTAAACACCCATTGCTCTGATTGGCTAACAGTTGTGTATGTTTGACATCCTACACAGATGGACGCTGCTGTGATTTAGGTTAAAAACGCATAAATACTCAGTACATATCAAACGATCTGTAATAACAGACAAAGCAATAGTGACCACATAATAAAAACAGTTACTCACACTTGTGTGTTGCAACATTACTGTCGGATCCAGTATAGTCGGCACAGCATCGTCTTTTAGTTTCAGTCTTTCTGAAAATCCTGCGTCATCTGCGGTATGAAGTGAACATAGGACCAAGTTCCACTCCACTCTTTCCTAATGTTAGGATCAAAAGGAAGGCGATGCAAAGACTGTGTTTTTTCACAACTTGGCTCTGTAAAGTGTCTTATTGTCTTCGGAGCCATCTTTATCGTTTGGTCTCTGCATAGACCTGTCTATCGTTATTTACACTACATGCGGTGGGCGGAGCTAAACAGGCAGTGATGTTGAAGCAGGCGTTGATCACCTTCTGCGGAGGCGGTGTTTAGCCTGTCGTTTTGGCAGACTGGCTTCAATATAAGCTGTTTTTAGACTAATGAGAAAGTTTTGAGTTCTGAAACTTGCAGGATGTTTTTGTAGTACAATAACCTCTTATATGTCAAAAGATCAATGGAATTTTGATTTCTCAGTTCATGACCCCTTTAACACAGAGATTGAGAACAATGATGAACAATCACAAGGTCTCATAAAATATTTTTATTAAAGGTTTGAGCCTTTATTTGCCTACTTTAGCAGTTTACTCAATGTCATTCTGAAAATCTAGTTTCAGTGTAAATAAGCATTTAAACTTATACAGGGAGCTTACACAGGCATTCGCAAGCATGCAACAAATGCAATTCTCCATATTATAATTAAACTGAAAACTATAAATACAACCACAATTATAAAGCAGAGTCTAGCTGCATTGTTCTCATCAAAATATCCATTTTCTCATTCACTGCAAGTGGCACGCATACAGGTGCATCTCAATAAATTGGAATGTCGTGGAAAAGTTCATAGCAAACTCACCAGACCTGAACCCCATAGAGAATCTATGGGGTATTGTCAAGAGGAAAATGAGGAACAAGAGACCAAAAAATGCAGATGAGCTGAAGGCCACTGTCAAAGAAACCTGGGCTTCCATACCACCTCAGTAGTGCCACAAACTGATCACCTCCATGCCACGCCGAATTGGGGCAGTAATTAAAGCAAAAGGAGCCCCTGCCAAGTATTGAGTACATGTACAGTAAATTAACATACTTTCCAGAAGGCCAACAATTCATTAAAAATGTTTTTTTTTATTGGTCTTATGGAGTATTCTAATTTGTTGAGATAGTGAGTTGGTGGGTTTTTGTTAAATGTGAGCCAAAATCATCACAATTAAAAGAACCAAAGACTTAAACTACTTCAGTCTGTGTGCATTGAATTTATTTAATACACGAGTTTCACAATTTGAGTTGAATTACTGAAATAAATGAACTTTTCCACGACATTCTAATTTATTGAGATGCACCTGTAAGCTTAGACACAGAAAAGGCCTTGCTTCCTGAATGATTCTAACACTGCCCTGTCCACTTTGTCTGTAGGCCCAATCCTGAAGAAGCGAAGCTCCTCCCTCTCTCGAGTAGGGGCTAAAACGCAGCCCGTCACCAAACCAGAGAAATCCACAGCAGATGAATCAGGTGCTTAAATCCCAACTGGGACATTTCGCCATGCCTGTTCGCCATTTACTAATAAATAAGCGCAAACTTCGTTCACGTCTATGGTCCGCTCTGCTTTTGTTTAATTCGCAGCCAACAGAACATTACATTGGTGTAATAAGGGATGTTGGGGGGGAGCATGGGGTTTACAGGGTTGGTTTGTGGTTATAAACATGCAGCGTCTTTCTCCCTACGTTCTTTTTTTGCCATGTCTTTCGACTCGTGCATCAGATCATCGTGCATTCAGAAACATAACAATCTGCTCAAATCTATGCTATTTTGTTCACATGTCGGTTGGTGTTTGCTGCTGTCTTGAGCTTCCAATTCGTCTTAACCTCTCCTTGTTGCTTATTCGTTCTCTCAGGGACCTCAACTAACCTACTCACCAGAAATGGGCTCTTTGTGTATGCAAATACAATGTATTTTTGTTTGTGTGAACATTGTTGTTTTTCTTCCCAAATGACATGACCATAACCAAGGAGTTTGGCCCCTGGTGCCATGGCTGTTTTCAGTGTGCGAGTGTGTCTATTGTCATTCCAGGTTTAAATACGCAGAATGCTGAGTAGATTTACAGGAACGCTGTATTTAGTTCTAGAAACTTGTTTGCAGGACATCTTTAGACTCTTGGTTTATATGCTCACTTAAACTGTGTTTTAGAGTTTCCCCGTCACAGTACACACTTGTTCAGATTGATACCACCATTATCTATGCTGAGAGCACTTCCTTATTATTGAACTCCCTTAACCACATCATCAAAAGCTTAACAGCCTCACCCCCTCTTCACAACTTGGACTGTATCAATACAGTGTCAAAGGGGAAAATAAAATAAATGGATCATTCAAGAGACATTACGTTTTTACTCTTTCATTTTTCAGTTTTTCCCCACTGGATTTGTAACTCTGATTACAAACAGATCTCATGACTACAAGAGCTTTTTCCCCCCCCGTTAACATGTCCTTCTACAGATCCGGTTTTCCAGTGTACGATCTGTATCAAATGTATTCAGTTTCAGCAGAATTTTTTTATGTTTTCCCAACTACATTCTGCAAAACTGCAGTATAGACCAGACTGATGTCAAATGCAGACCTGTAATCTGTTTCTTAATTTAATACTAACATAAATTCGATCTATACCTCAAATTAAAAATTCTTGACTCTTGTCTGATGGATCTCAAAAAGCTCTTCCAGTTACTCTTTTAGTTCTGGCTTTATGTGTCCCTTTTGTTTTCACCTCCACTTACACAGCCCTGGTCCTGCTCCCAATCACCTCCCTCTTATCTCACTAATATTCTTTTTGTCTCACCAGCATTGAGAGTCTCAATTGACATCCACTGTTTACATTTAAAGTACTTTTCTCTTTGTTTTTTGTGTTGATTCTTGCATTTTAAATCACATTGGTGTCATTCCCCTCTCCTTCCTCTTGTGTTTATTCCTCAACCTATCTCTTTTCTTTTCACTTTTGTCTGCTGTTTTTTGTGTCTGTACGGGCACACCGTGTCTATAGCTCGCCGCTTAATGATGGTTTAATATGAAATTATTCACCTATTGTCAGTAATTTATAAGTATAATGCTTTTGGTGCCGTTTACATTTCCACGGTAACAGTGGCTTCTCTGGTTGTTTGGTTATGGTTCAAGAGTTGTGTAGTTGTTCATTGCGAATTTAGCAGTTAAATAATTTAAAAAATACAAAATGAATTCCTGTAATACTCTGCAGAAACCTACTATTGCTCATCCTTAAAGCTTCTTTATGGAGAAATTAATAGGAATTTTACTTTGGGAAGACTAGGATGTGATTTTGTTTGTTTGTTTCTAATTTTGTTTATGCTTAAACCAGCCTGTTGTAGGCATTATGTCTACATGAGCAAATCACTAAAACTGCCTTTTGACGATCTTCGACAAATGGCAGACCGCAAGTCATTCATTTCCAGTGGAAAGTAATATGGGAGATGCGTGCGGAGTTCCTATTATGCAGAATTTTCTGATCCACTCCTGGCATGACGAAGCGGATATCGTCCTGTTTTGGAAGGCCAAACAAAGTAGTTTTGCTTTCACAACGAAACACACAGCTCCTCCACAACATGGCAGCGGCGGCAACAGCGAGAATCAAAGTTACGCCTTCTTTCTTTGTGTGAACATTTGGGCGGCGTTATGCAAATCTTCCCACATCGTGACGTAGACATGTGGGGGCGTGTTAGAATGAGCCGTTTTAGGTAGGCGTGGTTGACTCTTAACTTTTATAAAGAATATCTCTTTGGATTTGAGACTTTAGTCTTTGCAACTTTACAGATCTTCTTTATGCACCAAGAGCTTGTAACACTCCAAAGAGAAAGGAAAAATTTAAATCGCATCATATGACCTCTTTAAGCTTAACAAGGCTGCATTTATTTGATGAAAAATAAAGTAAAATTATTGTGAAATGTTACCCTTTAAAAAGAACTGTTTTCTGTCTTAATGCATCTTTGGGTGTAATTTATTTCTGTGATGACAAAGCTGAACTTACAGTAGCCATTACCCCAGTCTTCAGCATCAGAAATCATTCTCGTGTGCTGATTTGGTGCTCGACAAACATTTATTATCAATGTTGAAAACAATTGTGCTGCTTAATATTTTTTGGAAAAAGCATTTTTTGCTTTTTTTGAAAGCACAGCATTTATTTGAAATTGGAATTGTTTGTTATTATAATAAATTATTATATAATTGTAATTATTATACATGTCTGTACTACAGTGTGCTACTCAGACCCCAAACAGCTATGATGAACGTCAGAGTTTTTAGCGGTATTCAAGCTCTTAACTTGCACAGACTTGTATAAAGCACTATATGTGGGAATAAAGGTGGCTTGACTTGATTTGACTTGACAGAATCTCAGACTTTACTTTTAACATAATCAGATCTCGAAATAATCAGATTTAGAAATGCCCACTTCAGTGATTCATTCAGACACACGTTTAATTTGTAGCGCTGCCCTACATATAATGAACGCTAACCGAGCTTGAGTGTGTGTCCCAAAGAGAAAGCAAAGGAGAGCTTGCACTGTTTATCCACTGGAGGAATGTAAATTGAAACTGACATGTTTCCTTCTGATGGTCATACTGTACTCTAGCTTCACTAGTGGCTTGACCTTACAGCTCTCTATATCTGATCTGCTTGATGGTCATTTGGAGAGATGCCTAGAGTTAGAGATGAAAACATGGTGTACTCTGCTAGCTGTTTTGTTGTGATCATGTGGGGAGGGTTTCCAGTAAAAGTCTTTTTCAGATTGATGACAGCAGTAAAAGCCCAGCTGCAATGGTGTGATATATACACTATGCTTTGATTATGCTGAACAATGATTGATCACTACATAGCGATCAAAGTGCCTTTTAAATGTGAGGCTCTTCTGTTTGATCCAAAAGTCTGAGACAACATTGAAAATGTGGGATTCAGAATCTAATTTAAATCTTTAAAGTTAGGGTTTTGGTCATTGGTTCATAGTGTTTTTCTTTTTCGCATTTGTGAAAGCAGAAAGCTGAGAAAGAGAAACGCTTCACGTCACCAGTAGGAAAACGCCCTGCCTCACCCTCTAGTCGTCATCGATCCCCGTCTCCTTCTCCTGCTGCTAACACCACTACAAGAGCGCCCTCACCTGGAGCAGCCAAGTAAGACCTGTGAGATTAGGTTTAGCCTGCAGTGGTTTCACTCTAAACTGATAGTTTGATTTTAAACCTTTACAATCTGCTGCTCAAATTGCATATCCCATTGTCTATAGTATGATTGTGTATAAGCCCATCTTTTGTATTTATTTTCTATGTTTGTGTCCTTCAGGCAGAGTCCACATTTCCGCACTCCTTCCCCCAGTGGTTCGAAACAGCGGCCTCCATCCCCTCAGCCTTCTGCCACATCCAAACCTCCACCCATCCAGAAACCTGCTCTCACCCCCACCGGCCCGCCCACCCTTCGCAAGAGGGACTCCAAGCCAAACGATATGTCTCCCATGATGCCTGTCACTCCACAGTCTCCAGAAACCAGCACGCCCAGCCCGACACCCGCACCCAAGACCAAAGAGGGTGAGTGAACTCAAAAAAACTAATTATTGATGGTAATACCTGGGCATCTTAGAAAGTTGTGTACATTTATATAGTTAATAGATTTTTAATTGACACAAATATTTAAGTAGTTTGAGAGTGTAGGAAGTCATTCCCATTGCTTAATAGGAATGGGCAGGCACTACTGAGTTCTTTTAGCATGATTTGTTTATTTCAGTTCTATGATTGGTGGATATTTCTTTGCAGAATCATGGGTAATGTAGTTTTCCCACCAGGAATTTCACTGTTAAACAGAATTCTTTTTTTAAAACTAGGTTGAAATAATGTGGTGTGACAGCTTTAATGAAAGCCTGTTCCATTGATTAACAACATCATAGCTCACGTTAAGTTACTGTTAAAAATGTAGTTCCCTATGAAGAAAATTAACAACGTTTTTATACTTCCAGAACCCAACTGTTGCACTGTATTACAGTGTCTGTGGCAGGTAGATTTTAAATTCTAACTGACATTGACATTTTCCTCAGGATCAAGGCGAAAAATTTCAATGATAAATTTAAAGTGTGAAGTTTATCAGAAATTCTTTTAGAACATGAAGCATGACTGATTTCAGTACAGTACTGCATTTCAAACTCTACTTGATGTTCCTTTCAGCACATATAAGATTCTCTGCCAAGTGCTGCTGTCATGATGATGAAGCAGGTCATTTCTTTCCTCTAATATTTAATAGGAAATAATCTTTGAAAATGATTCAGCTTTTTACTGCTTCCTGCCTTGCCAAGTGTCTGGCCAAAACAAAGCCTTTGATCTATTACAGCAGCAAACCAGCACCGCTTGTGTAATGAACTGTCTTTAGATATCGTCTAACAAGGTCAGATGCTGCTGGGGTTACTGAGTTTGTAAACGGTGCCATTCAGGTTTATCCTTGAGACGCAGTGCCCTCTGATGAAAACATAAATCTGTTATGCTTTTACTTGGTGAAAGACACTTCCCTGTCTTTCAATGCATTTTATTGTGTAATACTATAGAAGAAAGTAATTAATTAACTATAAATAATGGCAAAGATAATATTAATATGCGTCATGTATATGTGTGTTTTCAGAATCCAGTTCCAAAGCAGGAATCGCAGGAACTAACTCCGCTGCAGAGGCTTCCAAGATCCTGGCGGAGAACCGGCGTCTGGCACGCGAGCAGAAAGAGAAAGAAGAGCAACTCCGCATACAGAAAGAAGAAGAGGAGAAGTGTGTTCATTTGATTAGCTTCAGCGTCAGGAACCTGCTTTGAAACTTCACTGTGCATTCACGATACTAAGTCTTTCTGCTTTAACTACTTCTGAATATACTAGGCAAATTATTTAATATGCACCTATCTTAAACCTACAATTACTCCTTTAAAATCAGAACGAAAACACTGGCATTAGTTTGTAGTCATATTCATGTTGTCCTTGTTAGTAAGAGCAGGTTTGTTATGCAGACATTAAAGCTGAAGTTATCCTCAGCTTGTTGTGCTAAAACTACTTTTGAAGTGCCAAAGGCCCTGAGGTATCATGTCTCGACAGGCTGAGGAAAGAGGAGGAGAAGCGGCTGGCGGAGGAGGAGCGCTTGAGGCGTGCAGAGGAGGAGAAGAGGCTTGCGGAGGAGAGGAAGAGAGAAGAGGAGGTGCAGGCTCGTATAGCAGAGGAGGAGAGACAGCGAATGGAGCTGGAGGAGCAGCAAAGACAGACTGAGCTAGAGAAAGAGGTGAGTTGACAATGCACTTGCACAGAAACCCTGATAGAGCTACTCTATTTAAATAATTGACTCCTTGCTCATTCAATGGCAGCGCGAGGAGGCTGAAGCAAAGGCCCAAGAGGAGGCAGAGAGGCAGCGTCAAGAGAGAGAACGCATTATGCAACAGAACCAACAGGAGCGCATTGAGAGAAAGAAGGTGAACGCCTTCACATGACACTGACATTTATACAATTTGCATTGAAGGTAGCAGCTGTAGTTTAAAGAATCATACAATTTGCTTCAGTGTTCTGTCTCCATCTGCAGAGAATTGAAGAAATTATGAAGAGAACCAGAAAAACAGACCAAATCGATTTTAAGGCAAGCATTAATTTTATAGCACGTCTTTTATTATATAGAATTAAGGCATGATGTATCTGCTTGTTACGTGTCATTTCCACTCCCAGGCAGTTACTTATGTTGTGTCTGTATGTTCTCCTAGAGTAATGATGAGAGGGACATTCCTGATGAAAATGGAGAGGAGGCTGAGGACCAAATATACTGTGAAAATAAGGGTCCGTATCTTTATGCCAGAAATGGCAGAATATTACTTTGTCGGCAACAACAGGGAGTTTCTATGTAGCAGATGACTGATGTTTCACTGAAAAGCAAGTGACAACTTATAGGAGAATTGCTGAAATGAAACTGAACACCTGTTTTACACAGTATTTACAAATAATTTACTAAGCAAATTTGAAAGGGCAGGCAATGCCAAAATCTCAAGATATCTCTAAATATTGATGAGATAATCTATCACTGTATGTAACATATAGCTGCACAATACTGGAAAAACTTTTTTGTGTGTGTGTCCTGACCCATTCAATATGGCAATAAAATAATTATATTTTTTATTGTGGTTATTATTAAATAAAAGTATTAAACAAAATAAGAAATATTACTATTGTAAAACTGTTGTGCTGTTAAAACAGAGAAATCAATTATTATTAAAATTGTTAAGCCATTGAGCTGTTGTTTTAGCAGAAAACTGCAGGGAGCCCTTAAAGCTTCTGTTTTGCTGAACCAATTTATAAATGCTTCTCGTGACAAATCTGGTGAAATGAGTGGCACAGTGCATGTAGGGAATAAAGCAGCATTGAAGGTGTTAAAAACACTAGAACATGAGCTGCTTGTGTGTAAATGAACATAGTGCTGCACTTCACTCTGAACCTATAATTAGATCACAGCCTGTGCAGTTTGATAATCAGACTAAGACATCACAATTTTATTTCAGTTTACTGTGTATCCCTAATGTATGACTGAATAATTCATCTGTCTCATTCAAATTTAGAGAATCAGGCTGTCGAGTCAGAGCAGAATGCCATGCAGACAGAGCCATCAGACTCTCAGAAGCATCACTTACCTGTGGAGGAGCCAGTCAGCGAGCAAGAGGGGCCAGTTGATAGTATGAACACACAAACAGATGTGGACAATAAAGAGAACAGCAATGGACCCAGCACAGAGGATCCCTCAATGGACAGGTACAAAAATGACCTTATTTACTCTAGTTTCATCTGGGTTACACTAGTGGTGCATAAAACACATTTGCATTTGTGCTTTAATCTCCAGCAGCCCCCCTCCCAAGTCCTGTCTGATGGAGGGCTCGGAGTTTGTGAACGAGGACTCTAAAGTGAACATGGTGCCAGGGTTGAATGGTAAAGGAGGACCCTGGAGCTTTGAGGAGCTGATCGATCTGGGTGTTCATGCGAAGAGCAAACCCCTGATGGATGATGAGGGGCCTAGAGTGGCCTTTGAAGAGAAAACCAGCTCCATTCATCCAGCCCAGCCTATTGAAGCTCTGTCCGGTACGGGCTTTTCATTCTATTAAGTCTACTAAATGGTATTGTATTAGTTTATATTGATTTGAACTCACAGAATTGACCTCATGCTTCTCTTGTTCTCTCAGAGATGTGAATGCGGAGGTCTGTGTTTAAGGCCTGCTGATTAATGCACTCCATGAGTCACGTCCAGCTGAGCCTCAGTGTCAGCGCTCAGACTCGTCTGGACAGCCAGGGAAAGCGCACAGTGCCACACAGCCTCTGCAGATAATAGATGGATAAAGCAAGAGAAAATAAAGACAAGTTGGAAGTAACAAGCTAAAGAAATGATTCAGGGAAAATGATAGATTCCTTCAGTGTGCTTGCTTCGGCTCTACATCTTTCTAATATTGACATCAGGATTAGTTTTTTCATATATTTCTTAAATTTGTTGTTTAGTTTTTTTTGTTGTTTTCATCTTTTAAATGTGGAGACAACTTATTTATTCATGTGGCTTCTCCACATTTAAACGGCTGCTGTCTTTTGACGGTTACCACGTGCACTTTTTTACTAAATTCCAGTGCAGGTGTTCACGTGGCACATACAAATTCATTATAGCTTCAACTTAAGCATTTTGTTGAATAATCTGGTTGGTTGAGTCAGTGTAAAGCGTTTTGAAAAAGGAAACTCTCACATATCTTCAGCTGACAGCTCAGCAATGTGACCCAAATGGGAACCTGTCGTTGAAACATGAGGTTAGACGGGCTGCTAGTGCGGCAAATCTCCAGTTCTAATGTGACCTCAGGATATTTTCCTCTAAGCTTCTGTTTCTCCTCTCCAAAGGCATAAACATCACCACTGTAGTGTTTAACACTATGTCCCTGTGCAACAACTGAAGCATTCCTACTGTGTAACACTTGTAGATAGCAAATCTCACTCAAAATGTTTCATTAAAACCGTTTACCAGACTAATTCTAATTAAAATTGAGTGCAAACATGTTCATACTGCCTTGAGCTCTTGAGATTGAAGGATGATGGAGCTCAATGCGGACTGAAATAACACTTGTTGCTTTGGTTTAATGAGGTTTTTATGTCGTTCATTCCTGTTTTGTAGTAAATACCTATATTGTTGATGTCCTGTTCTACCTGTACATAAATATGACTAGTTGTCAAATATCTAATTTAAGTGACCCTCAATATGTCTGCATGAATCTATCTGCTACTATATTGCATAATATAACACAGAGAATTACTGTAAGTCTTACTTGCACACTTTCCACATGTTTCTGTTCCCTGGAGTTTGAAGAAATGTGTTCCAGTGGATAAACTTGAATGATTTAATGTTCTCCAATTCCCAAAGTCCCCTCAGGGTTATACTGTACTATCAGTTTTTTTGTGTATATACAGTTACTGTTAGTTCTCACATCCATTCATGGCCTAAATAACCACACTAAGTGTAGTCCTCTCTTTGAAAATGCACAAGTATATATATATTAAAAACTCTTCTAAGTATTATGTAAATCAGTATTAGGCTGTCTGGCTATACTTGTGGTTGGGAATAAGAACTAGGCAGCAGGTTAGTGTGCTGTATAGTGTGGTACAACACTGTACTGTAAGATGAAACAGGCCAGATGTAACTAACTGCACACAGCACCAGCGCACATTTATCTTTTTTGAACAGAGTGTGAAGTGATGTGAGTTGGGAAAAAGAAAGTGGACAGAGTATAAGCGAAGTCAAAAGGGCTTTTTGATTATGAAGCTGCTTTGAGGTGGAACAGCGATCCATTGAGCATGTTGCCTCTCACTGAGGTTGAGAAATGCAATTTAAATTTGCAGCTAGAGGATTCAGGGGAAGTTCAAATGATTTATGCACTAATGGTGAGGATTTGGCATTCAAGCATTTGGCTATTGATTTAAATGTCCAGAATGTTGTAATGAATGATTGGTCTCCATATGCTTGAAGAGTTCAGATGGCTTTGTGTACTGAAGTTGTGTAAAATGTTGTTTTCTTTGAAATATTATTTGCAGAGTAGTTTTACCAGTCAAATGCCAGAAACAGTTAAGTTTGTGGTTAACCGGTAAGTAAATTTCCTTATTTGTATAATTCCATCCGCGTTTAGGAATACTGTAGATCCCTCAATATGTATTTAATGTTCTTCTGTTATTTTATATGCAACCGCCTTCTGTGATTTTTATCTTTTGTTGTATAATAGTCACTTTCCAGATTGCTTTTTGACTCAGGCTCTTAAGTCTCCAGTGGAAAGTTGTTTGCGGAGGTTAGAAGTGTCCGGCACTTGGCATGAGACTACTGTACATGGGTTTGAGATCATTGCGATTTCCTCGGTTTTGGCCTTTTATACTCATAATACTTTGCATTTCCAAAATTGCTTCAGGTTGTGGTGTAGCTCAGTGGTTCCCAACCCTGGTCCTGTAGGCACCCCAACACTGCATGTTTTGCATGTCTCCTTAATCAAACACACCTGATTCAGATCATCAGCTCAT